TCTATGTCGTCTGGTCACCATGGCCGAAATCGATTCACTATTACAGACCGTCATGTTTACAATCTATGGAAATCAATACGAGAGCCGAGAAGAGCATCTACTGCTGACCATGTTTCAATCGGTCTTGACCCACCAGTTCGAGACAACACCTGAATATTCCTCCCTACTCCGGCAAAACACTCCCGTTTCCCGCATGATGACCACCTATACTCGACGCGGTCCGGGACAGAGTTTTCTCAAAGAAGTCCTCGCTGAAAAGATCAACTCGCTGACCGAGCTGAGCGATGTGGATCTTGAGATCAACCCCCTGAAAGTCTACGAGGCCATGGTGAAGCAAATCGAGGAAGATACCGGTACTCTTCCAGAAGACCTACCCCGGTCTGTGACTGCCGAATTTGCTGCGGAGAACGAACAAGTGCAGGCTATCATTACGCCCCGCCTTAAGATGCTGACTGAAATCGCCGAAGGATTCTTATCTGCCATCATTGAGTGCCTAGAGGAGACCCCGTACGGGATTCGCTGGATCTGCAAACAAATTCGGAATCTGTCGAGGCGCAAGTACCCTGACGCCCAGGACCAGGCTATTTGCACCCTGATTGGTGGCTTTTTCTTTTTGCGCTTTATCAATCCTGCCATTGTCACTCCAAAATCTTACATGCTGATTGAGCGAGTGCCCGACGAGAAGCCCAAAAGGACTCTGACCTACATCGCTAAGATGCTTCAGAACCTGGCCAACAAGCCATCCTACGCCAAGGAGCCGTACATGGCCAAGCTCCAACCGTTCATCCAACGGAACAAGGATCGCTGCAACAAGTTCATGTTGGACCTGTGCGAAGTTCAAGACTTTTACGAGAGCCTGGAGATGGACAACTACGTGGCACTGTCCAAGCGTGATCTTGAGCTTCAGATCAGTTTGAACGAAGTGTATGCTACTCACGCTTTACTTGAGAAGCATAGCACGGAATTGGCCAAAGATCCTTCTTCTCATCTGGGAATTCTACTGCAGGAACTTGGCCCGGCACCACCACAATTACCTAGAAAAGAAAATCGGGCAATCAATCTGCCTCTCTACAGCAAGTGGGAGACAACCTTTGACGACCTGACCCACGCGCTCGACATCACTCCAGAAGAGATTCACTTTATGGAGGCCAAGAGCACCTTTGTGCAGATTATGCGAACTTTGCCACAGAACGCGATTGTTCTGCGACGCCCTCTTCGTCTGGACCGGGTGGCGGAAGCAGCGGGGACCCTTAAGAATGACGCCGTCATGGTGCGGAAAGGCATCCGATGCATGGAACTTCTAACGCAACTTTCCGAATGGGGAGTGATAGACCGTGCCGACGACTATGCGGTGCTCCGCGACGAAGTTGAGCAGGAGCTGGCCCACCTCGGCTCGTTGAAGGAGAAGGTGTTGGAGGAGACGGCCAAGTTGGAGGATGTTTATAAGACGATTCGGGACCACAACGCATACCTTTTGTCCCAACTCGACACGTACAAGAATTACCTGCACAACGTCCGAAGCCAGTCTGAAGGTGCGAGAAGAGGCAAGACGGAGAAGGTGCGCGAGCTCGGCCCGTATAAGTTCACCCACGCTCAGCTGGAGAAAGACGGCGTAATTACGAGGAGCAATGTGCCCGAGAACCGGAGAGGTAATATCTTCTTTATGTTCCGAAGCCCACTCGCAGGTACTTTTGTCATCAGCCTGCATTACAAAGGTGAGCATGTCCGGCCTTGGTGCGCGAACAGTGGATTGGTGAGACTAACCTGGTGATAGGACGTGCTCGTGGTCTCCTCGAGTTGGACCTCAAGTTAGACGATCTGCTCGAGATGCAGAAAGATGGTCAGGACGACCTCGATCTGGAATATGTGCAGTTTGATGTCTCCAAGGTTCTGACCCTGCTCAACAAACGATTTGCAAGGAAGAAGTAGACAGCGAATTTGGACCCCAATCATGCAGGCCGCATGATGGTCGGAGCACGAAAGCACGAAGGACATATTCAGGCAGAAATCTCGGAACACGACGGGGACGAGCGACACGACGGAATTGAAGCAAACACACTCCCAGCGATTGACGAAAAAGAAGCCGGCGAGCTGACTGGGTCATTGCCATATTATTACTATTTTTGGTTGCATTGGGTCCCTTTTCTACCCTCTTTTCTGTTTTACTAGGAATCCAAGCGCGCGTCATCGATTTTTGTTGTGTGTGAGTAATATTTTCAATCGGGAAATTTTGTCTCGAGGGTTTGTTGATGTTGATCAAGAGCGAGCGAGGAAGGACAGCAGTTTGCAACACCGTCGAGAGCAGTTTCAGTTGAGTGTTGGGTCTGTCTGATTCTCGGTGTGATTTGTCTGTGTCGGTATGAGCGAAGGGGGTGTCCGTCTGTGTCTGTGTACGGAGCGTGTGTAATATATATCGAAGGGGGGCCAGCTCCCTGAGAAGCGGGTGGACAGTGGTTTTGAACGACGCAAAATGATTTTTGTATTAGGAACAGAGGGAAAGGGAAAGGGTGAGGGGGTCGGGACATACCCCAATTGTACTAATATAAAGCGCCCTTTTTTGGAAGGAGGCTTTTTGATACAGAAGGATCTGGTGGTAGTATTTCTCTGTTCGTCCCCAAAACTGGATTGACTCGATATCGTCCTTGAGCTTTGAGAACCGCAGTTGGTGTCCATGTCGACGGACATTTCTCGATTCAAAGGCTCTTAACTCCGGCCGGTATCGGCAGTACAATAACCCGACCTCTGCTAATGCCTCTGTTCCGGTCCAATGGGAATCCGCAGCCGCCGCCTCCCGCCCGGGTAATGGGGCCATCGTGGGCCTCTCATTATCTCGTCTGTTTAGTAACCATCTCTCGACCCTTTGAGTCAGATCGAGATATCGTTATCTCGACTACGGGCAAATCGAGGTGCTTCTCCTATATTTGATATCGCTTGCATCTCTGAGAGTCCATTACCCCTTACTTCCTTTCTAAGTCATCCACCTGACATCTTTTTCGGGGGTAGTTCCCCATTCGTCTCGTCAATATGGACGTCTTCAAGTTGCCGGCCTCTCACGCCTCGTCCCTCTAACACGTGTGTGGCACGTTTTGAATCCTCCCGCTCTGTGGATTGGTTAGTCTGGCCCAGCAACGAACGTATCTCACTGTCATGGGAAAAGCAAAGAAACCAACCAAGACACCCCAGCTTCTGTCCCCGAGGATTATAGTGCAGAATGTTGCTGGGGGAGACCAGGTGAGTATCGGGACTTGAGTATTCGTCACTGTATCGTCGCTGACGCGGGACATAGCATATCCTGGTATCAGCGCTTGAGGGGTTGTCCGTAGCTGATGGTTCCGACATCATACCAGATGACAAGACCTGGTCGCATTCCGTTCCTGGAAATGTCGGGCCAAATGCTGTCAGGGACGAACCCAGCATCACCGGTCCAGTCTCGGTGTGCAAAGAAGCCAGGTCTGAGGAGGAGTTCCTCGAGGTCAGATCGACCGCGGACCGCGGTCTCGCTGTCTTTGCGACTTGCAAAATCAAGGCCGGGACACTCGTGCTGGTCGAACGGGCCCTGATCGCCCTGGACAAGGACGAGGAGAACGACTACGGCGCGGTGGAGCGCGCGTTCTCCCGACTGTCCCGCGCAGAGCAGAGGATGTACCTGTACCTGTTCGACGCGCAGAAGTCGCGCATGTCCCGCGTCGTCTCCATCTACTACAGCAACTGCTACAACTGCGAGGCGTTCCGGCCCGGCGGCCAGGGCGGCTCGGCGATCGGCGCCCTCTCGAGCCGCATCAACCACAGCTGTGTGCCCAACGTGCAGTTCTCGTTCGACGAGGCCCGCAACGAGATGAGGTTCTACGCTATCCGCGACATCCCCCGCGGGAAGGAGGTGTGCAGTAACTACGACAAGGCCGTCTTCGAGGTCGCGGCCAAGCGGCAGAGGAAACAGCAAATGTACTATGGTTTCGTGTGCCGCTGCGAGGCGTGTGATCCTAAGACCGAGTTCTGGGCCAGGAGCGACGAGCGCAGGCGGGGCATGTACGACGCCATTCGAGCCGTGCAGTGGTGTGAGAAGAAGCTGGCTGCGGCGGAAAGTGGTGCGGCGGCCGTGACGGCGACGACGAGTGATAAAAGCCAAGTCGGGGCCCGAGCCAGAGCTGGAGACTCTAACGCTGGTGCTGGCGCTGACGCTGTCACCGAGAGTGTGCTCGTGGTGGTAGACGAGGCACTGGCCTTCCTGACGAAACTCGAATCGTTACTCCTAAAGGAAAGCCTCGTGGGAGTGCCCCTGGCCAACACGTACCGGAGCATGGCCAAGTGGGCGGAGCGGAAGGGCGACAAGGCAAAGGGAACCGACGAGGCTGTCCAGTGGAAGGCCAAGGAGCTCGAGGCTTCTGTCACCGCTCTTGGGAGGGAGGGTCAGAGGACCAAGGAGATCGAGGCCTGGTTGAGAAGACACTCAGTTCCAGAAGGAGGCGCAGGAGGAGGAGGAGGAGTCCGAGGAATACTGGGCGTTTGAGTGAGTTGAGAGAGTCCCCGAGTCCAGGTACCGTACAGGCATGATGTCTGGTACTAGTACACTTGTTGTGTACTTGTAGATTTCTGTACCATCTATCTTGGAATATAGACTCTATAGACTTTTATAGACCACATAGACCGTATAGAATAGAGTAGAATATTATAGAACAGCACAGCGCAAAACTGTACAACACAGGGACGGGAGCAATCCTGAGTAAACCAAGGGGACTGGATATATTTCTTGTTGCAAAAGCGAGCGATCGAGCGATCGACCTCAACCTGACTCTCAATCTGAACCTGACTCGCAGCACATGGATAGATGGTCTGTCTGTCTGCTTCTATCTACTCGGTACCGAGTATCCTTTGTCTTGGTCTGCATAAGCGAACCTCGTTGAGCTACTACTACCTACACATTGGGAGATAGATACTACCTATTGTAGCTTATAGCCTATGGCTCGTATCTCGTAGCTCAAACCCATGTTATGCTTTATGATTTACTGGCGTTGTTGTTTCAATTTATACGTGGCCTCCTCCAACTCGACCAGCAACTCCATGCAGACGGGGTCGGCGGCGGGCACGATCTGGTTGAACAGGGTGGCCGCGACGCCGCCCTTGCGGTCGACCCACCAGAACAGGTTGGGCAGGCCGCCCCAGTTGACGGTGCCGGCGTGTCTGCGGCCGGGGACGTCCTCGAGGTTGACGGCCCCGGCGAGCGAGTGGCCCGCGGGGATGGCGCTCTGCTCTCCCTGCGAAGTGGTGACGGCCGCGGTGGCGGCCGAGGCGGCGGCGTTCGCGGGCGACGACTTCCACAGCCGGTCGCGCCCCGTGCCCCGGACGGAGGCGTGGAAGGCCTCGGTGCTCCCGGGGCCAATCTGCGGGCGGAACATCTCGTCGACGCTCTCCTTCTTGAGCAGGCCCCCGCCGTCCTGCAGCAGCGCCGTCAGCAGCCGGATGTAGTCGTTGGCCGTGCTGTACAGGCCCGCCCCACCGATCGCGTCGCGCGGCGCCACGGGCCACAGCGACTTGGCCGGTTTCGAGTCGAGCGCCTTGGGTGACTCGGCCGGGTTGCTGCGTTGGGCGGTCTCGTGCAGCGGCGGCATGGGATTCGGTTGGAAGTGTTTGGTCGGGTAAAAGGTCGTCGATTTGGCCGAGAGGGGGCCCCAGATGTTTTCCTGCACGTATGTGTTCAGGTCTTGTTTCGTGAGGACTTCGACCTATCGCACCACATAAGTTGAGGTAAGAGGTTAGCTACGTTTCTCCTATCTCCAGACCGAGCGTTGTCATTCTTTTGGGGTCAAGCAGGAAAAGAAGCAAGTGGGAAAAAGAGACCGTCCAGGGCCAGGGATGGGACCAGGGATGGGACCAGGGATGAGACACAAGAGACCGTACGTACCACTCGTCCTGCCCAATCGAGTCCATCACTATACATCCATGATTCGCCGGGCTGGTAGAGCAGTGGATGTAATGCGCCTTCCTGTAACCCTGATAGTCAGCTTCCAAAAACGCCATTAGCTCACAGTAAGAAGTGTAAAAGTAGATCTCACAATCGTGCCACTGAACATGTTGTCCGTTCGGCCCACTGACGCGGACCATTTCACCAGCAGCGGACTGCTCACATCGTAGCAGAACCCCGAGGTATGCGACAGGAGTTGTCTGAAAAGTTGGACAGCGCTTGGGTCAGCGATACTGTGCACAGAGAAAAAGGACCGGGCGGTTGAACAAACCGTAGAGTGATCTTCCCCTTGACGTCCTCAAAGATGGGATTCCCCTTTGGCTTCAACTTGTCCAGATCAGGACCTGCGCCGCCACGGGAAAATGCTGCCGGGTCCAGCTCCTGTGCGCTGTCTTCTCCCTCAAAGCCCAGAAGAACCTTCAGGTCCTTCAACACGGGAAGAACTTCGCGCACGTCGTCGTCCAGACCGATGAGGCCCTTCTCGACAATCTGCATGACCGCGACCGAAGTCACCAGCTTGGTCTGGCTGGCGATCCATGTCAGGGTGTCTGGCGTCAAGGGATCCGATCTGTCGACGGTGCGGGCCCCAAATGAAGCACGATAAAGGTCATTTCCTTCCTGGGTTGTCAATCGTCCTTGTACTTTATCCTTGCTTCTACACAGTCACACTCACCTGCGCTGTCGACGGCGACAAAGGTGGCACCGTGGACGGAACCCGTGGCAGGGTCGGTGTATTTTCGGAGAATCTCGTCGAGTTCAGCCATGGTTATTGCTCGTGTTCGTGGTGTTGGTAACTTGTTCGCAGGGAGATGTCGACAACGAAACAAGAGCAACTACTGCTGAGATACACCGTCGACCCATTCAGCCGCTTATGAATGCGAACCTACGGCTTTAACAACGTCTCCATCGTTCGCGCCATCGATCGGCCCCAGCGCCCGAACGCCGCATTCCTGTTGGATCATACAAGGCCTCTGCCTCTCCCTCTCTCCAATTCAACCTTCCGTTCCGAGGCGTTGTTCTCGCTATTTCCGATAGTGGCACCAGTGGACACAAGCGCGTTTAGTATTGCCGACACACCCTGCACGACTTGTCCCCCTCCCACCTGCAAGGACAGCACCTCGGCGAACGCCAGGATTCAAAACGGGCGAAGGAAAAGAAATACCCACACCCACAACGGGATTCTCCAACGTCGGACACGGTCCGATGGATGGCCTAAGGCTGTCAAAAAGAGGATACTCCTACATACATACACTGTGCCTTCCATGCCACATCAAGATCCTGATGAGTCGACAGGCAATGAGAAATACAAGTCCTAAGAACAAACTGCATCTTGGACAACTTGAGAGGCCGCGGAACGACGTGGACATCTTTTAGTCCTCTTATAGCGACCTGTGCAAGAGCTAGCGGGCCTGGCTGCTGTTTCAACAGTCTGTTTCGCGGCATGAGTCTACAACTAAGGCTGATCTCGATATGTCTTCTAGGCTGGGGTAGCGCTGAGCAGTCCCAGTGGTGCAGCGCCAGTGTTGCTTCCACGGCTCTCAAAAGTTCCATTCAGGAGTCGTCAAATTCTTGTAAAGTCGTCACCTTGTTGCCTACCCTCATAGACCCTTCACCCATAATCGCAGACCACTTGCGGCCGCACCAATCTCGCAAACCTCGCACATCTTGCACACCTGTCCCTTGAATTGGCTCTGATATTTGGCTCCATCGAATGGACATGACACACTTTGCGCTCCGGTGTAGATGGGAGTGAAGGAAGCGGCGCAGACGTCGAAATCCGCGAATTGGTCGTATTCAATGTCGATCTTGTCGCTAGATCCCAACCGCTCAGCCTGTTGTTTGATTTTCTTTGCCTGCAAACGAAGTTAGCAACTTAGCGGGATGTTTTCTCTCCATCTACTCACCTGTTCAACCAATTTCGCCGCGCCACCGTTAGCTAGGATGCGATTTGCAAAGGACAATGCACTGGAATATTGTCGGTTCGAGAATGCCAATTTCATAGCGGCCATCAGAGCTAGTTGCCGATGAGAGACTTCGAGTTTGGGCATGGTGAAGTATGCCGAAAGCTCCAGCTGTCGCTTGAGTTGTGCTTCGGCCTCACCACCCTCAGCCGCAAGCCGACGTCTTTCAAGCTCAACGCTCATCGCAAGCGTGTACTCCATCGCTTTCGTAATCAGCGCCTTAGCTTCGTCCACCTGTGCCTGCGAACTGACGACATTGACAAGAAGCGATTGCAGCAGTCGCCGGAACGTGAGGACACCTTGCTCCAATCTGTTTGTCCGCATGGCCGTGTATCCTTCTTGTAGGTCAACATTGCTGAGGGTCTCTAGGTTTCGGGGAATGACAGGCAGGAGCTTTCGGTTGTCCGTCTCCTCGGTGGTGCGGCGAACATAGTTCACAATAGGCGGCAAGCCGGCATTGGCGGGCAGAAATGTTTTGGACGCCTGGTAGATCTCCAGGAATCTCGACTTGAGGGGTTCAAAATGTACCGCCCCAACTTGACGATTCAGCAGCTGCATGGCACTGTCGAAAGAGCCTGCTGCAACATGGTCTGCGGCTAGTGGAGAGTTTCTCGACCACATATCTGCCTCTGAGCTGCCCGGTCCAGCAGCTTCTGCAGGTGCATCCGGGTTGTCGACATTGACAAAATCCGAGTCATTCCCTGTGGCCTCGAGCCCGATGTCGTCACCCATGTCCCAACCTTCGCCAGCATCCGCATCCTCGTCTGCTGCGAGCCCGTCGCCGTCGGCAGCAGCGGGGACCTCCTCGGTGAGGAGATCAGGGCTTGTTTCGTCATCGACAGCTACACCCACCTCGCCGAGAAGCGCTCTCTCAAATGACGAATGTGATGCCTCCTTGACCGGCCAGTTCGCTTTGTAGGTAGGAACAATGACTTTAGGAGGAGCGAGACCTTCTCCCGCCTCAGGCATCGAGATTTGGTCTTCCGTCAACCCACAAAGCTCGAGTATTGATTGACATTCTTCAGTCAATCCGTGAGACTTTGCAGTGAGATAAGCCAGGGGATATTGGTCGATCTCCTTGAACATTTGTATCCGACTCTCCACGTCACCGAGATAGAGAGCATTTTGGAATCTGGAGACAAAATCTCCGCGATGCTCGGCGATTTTGGCCATTCTCGTCAGCTTTTCCTCGTCGCCCGTGCAAAGGTACAAGAATGAGAGTTTGTCGAAATTTCGGAGTTTCTGATAGGTCATTTCCACGGTCTGATGATTGCCATGAACCAAAGCTTCCGTGCCCAAGCGTGTCCAGATTTTGGGTCGATCCAGCTCTTTGGCCATTTCTGTGGCCACTTCCAGGTTGCCACATTCGATGGCGAGTTCGAATCTCGTCTGGGGATCTTGCACAAACTGTAAAGCGATCTCGGGATAGCCTTTCTTTTGGAGATAAGAAATGATGCTCTGCCCGACGAGGGGTGAGGTCTTGATGATCTGAAGCATTTCGTCGTAATTACGCTTCACAAGAGCCAATTTAAAGCGGTATTCCGTTGGGTCAATGGTGAGCACACGAGGCTTTGAGGATCTGTCGAGGCAGTAGACATTACGTCCTTTGACCTTGACGAGGTAAACCGTCTGGTCGAGTGTTCTAACGATGCCGTTGTCACCATTGAGCAGAGTGTATTTGATATGGTTGAGAGTTGAGTAAAGCAGAACGCCTGAATCGTCCCAGGCTGCGCTCTTGATTCTGATCGTTTCGTGCAGGGTGCTGACTTGTTCTAGCGATTTGTTGACGATGGTGACATTGTGCTTGCTGAGCAGAGCAGCATACAGACCATCATTTGACCAGGAAACATATTTGACGCCACTAACGCTCAGTTCTGCCAGCTGCTTCTTCTGCTGAATGTCATAGAGAACCACGTTTGTGGGAGAGATGAGAAGGAGGCAACCAGTGCCACCATATGTGATATCAGTCGTGCCGGCAGGTGCTTTGAAGGATTTTGTTGTTGAGTTACCCAGGTCTTTGATTTCAACCAGCTGAGTAGATGTGCTGAAAACGGCAAAACGATTGCGGGCAACGAAAACTGCGGCATTCCCTGATCCACGCTTGATATCAGTAGGTTCAGTAGCCCCTGTGGCATCTCGAGGAAGTGCAATCAGCTCGTAAGTGCCGTTGTCTGTGGGCGAGGTGACCAGGATCGATCGCTCTGCCGGATTGTAGGAGAGCGTACGGGGAGGGACCCAATTGCTGCCAAACTTCCTAAGTGACAGCAGCGACGGGGACTCGACATTTTTGGTGAAATCGTAGGATCGGACGTGCTTGTCCTTTGTGATATAGAATAGCTGGTTCTGATAGACTGAGGATGCAGGCCGCTCTCGTTCGAGTTTGAAGACCATGACACCGTTGTCATGGCCGGCAGCAAACAGGTTGATTTCAGGGTGGGCGGCAATCACCCAGAACCGGTCATTCTCCCGCTTAAATGACTGGACGGACGTTCTTTTGTTCAGGTCCCAGACACGAATAGTTTTGTCCTCACCCACGGACAGGATGAGATCTTGATGTGGATGGAACAGGCATGCAGAGACGTTTTGGAAGTGTCCTCGACAGGTGTCAACTTCCCATGCTTTAGTCTCGCTCATTCTCCACAGCTTGACCAACCGGTCATCGCCTGCGGACACGATCAAAGGCAGGGTTGGGTGGAAAGCGACCCAGTTGACGCCTCGATCGTGCCCTTCAAGAACGAATTTGACAACAGCATCCGTATTGCCAAACATATCAGCCTGTTGTTGATTTGCTCGTGCCATCTGATCCTCGAAACTCATCGAGGTCGGGGCAGAGTGCTTTTTCCTGAGTCCCGAAATATCCCACACTCGGACAGACTGATCAAGGGAGGCGGAGACAATGAGATCTTCCTTGGGGTGGAACTGTGCGCACATGGCATAGTGGTTGTGGCCGGTCATGGTACAGACTGTCATATGTCAGAGGGAGAAGAGAAAACCCATTGGAGTAGTACTCACTCAAAGACCGGTTCTGCCAGTTCCAAATTCTGATTGTCTGGTCGTCAGAGGCAGACAAGATCCAAGGCAACTCATGGTGGAAGAAGACTGTTCGGACATAATCCAGGTGACCATTGAGGGTGAAGAGACACCTTCTGGTTTGATAGGACCAGACTTTGATCTTGTAGTCATCTCCTCCTGACACAAAGAGTGGTTGTGTCTTGTGAAAATCGATACCGCGAACTGGTCCGTCATGTTCCTCAAAGCGGTCGATCAGGGTACCCATGCGATAGTCCCATAGCCTGCAGAGTGGTCAGTTTGGGTGCTTCGAGAAATGGCGGGATGATTTGGTACTGGATGGTACTGCTGTGCAAGCTGACGAGGATCCATGGTCTTTTTGGGTGGAAGGCTAAACCCTTTGCGCGACTGCTTTTGCTCTCAAACTGTATCCAAAGGTTAGAGACGTCAAAACGGAGGATGAAGGGCCAGGGCTTGCCTTTGTGAGCATTGAAGGGGACGCCATGTTGGCGGCTCAAAGAGGAGTTCAGTCTGCTTGAATTCTCAACGACGGGTTGTAAACATGCTGCACCCCTCAAACACAACGTCGCTATCAAAATTCGTCGTGTGGGAATTGTCGTGTGTAGTGTTTATGTCCCAGTTGGAAAAGCATAGGTGGCTCCCTATGGGGTTTGGGTGCGGTGCTCAATTCAGTTGTAGACAAATGTCCGCAGCCTGACAGTGACCAGCAAAACGGAAGGTACAGCGAGACCGCGCAGTGTGGGGACTTGGCCAGTTTATCGATTTCGATGGAC